TGAGGGGGATGAGGATTGTTCCTTCAAGGAGGTGAGGGCCAGGGGGTGGGTGGGATTGGGCCGAGGAATGGAAAGAGCTGGAGCCAAAGTAAAGCACAAACAGAAAGGAAGTAACAGTATCCGTTATTCCAAAGAAACCTTGCACTTTCTAAGGTAGGCACAACCTTGGAGATTTTAGTTTGTTCCCTCACTGATAAACAAGAAGTCAGCAATGATAACGATCCTTAATAACACTTCCTCTGGAATGTACAACATTCCATGTTTCTGCTTCACAGTCTCCACCGGACATGCATGAGTCAGGCTGAGAGGTGGGAATTTGCCCACGCTACTTATGAAGCTGCTGAAGGTATGGTCAGGCCTAAGAGGTGTGATCTTTCCGTACTCTTTTCTGCTTCAACTCTTCTCATACTAAGAGACAAGGGTGATTGCTTTAACTATTGATAGAGGACAATGAATCATCTATAGGCCATGAGTTGAACTGGAAAACCAACTGGCAATTGTCCGTGCTTATGAATGGTAGCCTGAGCAGCTAGTCTGAGTACATTGGCCTAGAAAATGCTTCCCACATTTCTCCCAATTGCTTAGAAATTAAGTCAATGGGCAATTTGATTTTCTGGATTTTGTTCTGTTTGTGTCTAGGCTTGATCAGGTAACAGTAGTTGCACATACCATGTTTTAAGAACTTTTGTGTGAGAGAAAGTCAAGATTTCCGTATGAAGGATGGAGGTCCTCCTTAGTAAACCACTGGCCCAGGGAAGTAAGTGTCTCCCAAGTGCTCTGCAAGAAATCCTACTTTCTCCTGGTAACTTAAAAAAAAAAACCAAACCCGTTGCTGTCGAGTCAATTCCCACTCAAAGCAACCCTATAGGACAGAGTAGAACTGCTGTATAGGGTTTCCAAAGAGCAGCTGGTGGATTTGAACTGCCAACCTTTTGGTTAGCAGCCAAGCTCTTAACCACTGCACCACCAGGGCTCTTTAGGTCCTATCTGTGTGCCTGATGGAGCCCTGTTATGTGCTGTTGAAGACAGACCATGATGGTTAATCTGCTCATGTTTGCAAGCAGAACTAGACTGCCATCAGGCGCGTGGATGCCTTTAGGTGTTATACAGTCTCCAGTTCACTCCCAAGCTTCACTATTCCCTGTTGCCTTACATCCAAAATCAGTTGGGTTAGGATGGCAGAGTACAGTGCACTTCTATGAAGTATTTAAAAAAACAAAACAAAAGACAAACCTTGGGCTCATTAATTTTAGCCAGGTTTCGCATTAAGTAATGAATTATACTCCTATTTCTGGACATAGACAATACCTTGTTTTTCTGAGGAAATGCAGTTGTTCACGTATGTGGCTTATCACCATGTCCTCCCGTGGTTCTCTATATCCTTCTGAAGAGGTGAAAGGAATGAAGGAATAAATCAATTAGTTACAAACACAGTTTGATCATCTGGTATATGCCAACTTGCAAGAAACAAAGAGGGAAGGGAACTCACATGTATTACACATTGAATATTTGCCAGGAACTTGTGCTAAGAATTTTACATACATTACCTAGTTTGTTTTTAAAATAATCTTCAGATATTACATTGTCATACCATTTTATAGCTGAGGAAATTGAAGCTTGGAGAGTTTAGATGACTTGCCCAAGGTCACACAGTTAGTGTGTGACAGAGAAAGAATTCAGACTCGGATCTGTCTGACTCCAAAGCCCATGCTCTGTCCACTCTGCCATGCCCGGCCTTGCATTCAAGGAGCTAGCACTCTGAAAAGTAAAAGAGACATCTCAAAAATTCACATATAAAAATTTGTCCTAATTTTAGAAGTTCGAGAACTTTATAGTACTTTTCAATAGGAATCTAGGGGGAAAGGATGCTAAACCTACAGACTATTGGATTATGTGTTAATCTAAGAACCATGATGAAGAAACCACCATATGATAGTGGTATATGATGGATATATTCTCATGTGATCTCAAGAATAAGATTGACCTTCAAAACAAGCTGTTTTAAGAGTGAGGTTAAAGGTCAAATCTTGCCAGAATCGTAGACGGGGTTGCAGACTGGAGACTTGAACCTTGCCTGTCCAGTCATACCTGTGAGAAAATACTAGTAGCCTATGAAGGGCTTACATAATAGCCACAACTATGGACTCAAATATATAAAAAATCATAAAGATGGTGTAGGACAAGGCATTGTTTCATTCTGTTGTACCTGGGGTCGCCATGAGTCGGAGCTGACTTGAAGGCAACTAACAATAACATTAAGGGCTTATCATGTGGCAGTCACTGTAGCTTATATACATTATTTCACTTAATTTTCACAGTAACTATATACCCAAAAAACCCATTGCCATCGAGTCGATTCCAACTCATAGCGACCCTATAGGACAGAGTAGATCTGCCCCAGAGGGTTTCCAAGGCTGTAAATCTTTACAGAATCAGACTGTCACATCTTTCTCCCTTGGAGCGGCTGACAGGTTCAAACTGCCAACCTTCCAGTTAGTAACTGAGTGCTTTAACCCCTGGGCCACCAGGGCTCCTTAACAACTGTATAAGAGAGTATTATTATCCCCATTTTACAGGTGAGGAAACCAAGATGTCAAAAAATGCTTAAATTTACACAGCTAATAAATATTAGGGCTCAGATTCAAACCCCAGTCTGATTCCAGAGCTCACAATCATAATGTGATCCCTCCCAAACAATAAATGAAAGCAACTATTACGTTGTGGGTTTTTTTTTTTTTTTGGAAGCAGCCAAAAAGAAAGTCTGTATATGAAGTAATTAAATATCAGTTCATAATAAAAGAGAGCTGCTTGGGCCTAGATTTTTTTCTCTTAAACATGCGTCTTCATATTATGGGCATACCCATATTTTAGAGACCTAAACTGAATATGTCATTAATTTGCTTAGAAAAGTTAATCTTTAGGAGTAAGTGTCTTTAACTTTTTAATTGTCCACATGTCCAAATAGATCTAAGGTTTCTCAATCAGAGCTTTTTAGAAGGACTCGCCCTACAGATGATTCGCTCTATGGATCTAACCCTTCAGGAAAAATTTGAATTAAAAAATGCAAGAGAGATGGCCAGTCAAGTCCTTTAGCTACACGAGGCTGTACCATGTCATGATAGGATTACATATGAAAAAAGAAGTAATAGTACTACAAGAGAATGAATAATAAGTACGAAATGAGTGCCAAAAAATAGTTACGGTAGTTTGAGGGAAAAAGAGCAGCTATGGAGGTCAAGACAGAAAGAAAAGCAAGACAATTAATAAGGAAAGTTTTAAGTTGCACAGATCTGGGATTGAGTATGTATCTATGCATGAGTGTGTGTGTCAGTTTCTTCTTCATGTATAAAATGTTCAGCATAGTGCTGTTCTTATTACCCTGATTCTGAATCATAGCCACCATATAGGACAGAGTAGAACTGCCCAGTAGGGTTTCTAAGGCTGTAATTTTTACGGAAACAGACCACTACATCTTTTTACCCCAGAACGGCTATTGGGTTTGAACCTCCGAACTTTCGGTTAGCAGCCAAGTGTTTTAACCGCTGCATCATCTATTATTGTAATATAATTGTCTGTCGGTCTCCTCCATTAGACCACGAGCTCTTTGAAAGCTGGGTATATGTCTTAGACATCTTTGTGTCTCTCAGCCTTTCATTCAGTGCTCAGGCTCATCCCCATTCCTGATGTTTACTTCTATGTGAAGTACTCCATCATGTTACTCCTGGCCTCTCTCCACTCTTGACATATTCCATAATAGGAAAAATAAGTGACTTACCTGATTGGTGAGTTAGGAAGGGCTTACTATGTGCCACTCTTCACTTGAGAATGAGTTTTCTACAGGGAGAATGCAGTCTCTTCTGCTCTTCCATACCAATGCTGTCTAATGCCACCATGACTGAGTGGGCAAGTCTACCTCTTTCTGGGGTCTAGTTATATGACACACAAATACTGAAGAGGAGACGGAGACCTGGCTGGAAACGTAGATTAGAACCAGACCGTGGAAAAGATCTTGCTATATCTTCATGACATGACATTCCAGCAGATTCTTTGGAAACTTATGAGTATTGATCAAGAGTGGAAAGAGTCCATGCAACTAAGCCCAAAATAATATTTGTTTTTGTTTTTGGTGTTTAGGTATTTTGGTAGAAGGAGGGTGTTTTTTGGAGGAGGGGTTGTTTTGATTGTGTTGTCGAGGTAAAAATGAGGTGTCAATATTTTAGATTTTGTGTAGAGTTCAGTTTTGTGGTTTTTTTTTAAGTTACTTTATGCTAAGGTACTAATAAACCCATTATTTGAAGAATAGTCCTGGTAAGTCTATGTTTCTCCAGTGTGGTCCGTGGACCATCTGCCTCAGAATTACCTCGAGGGCTTTCAAAATGCAGATTCCTACGGCCCGTCCCAGATCTGCCAGACCAAAATCCATGGGACTGAGGCCTAGGAACATGATTTTAACCTTTTCCCCATGTGATTTTTACACTCAGTGTATTAAGGGCATCCTAGTCCTGGCAACAGGTAAATTCAATTTAAGTGTACACTGAAGAGGCTTGTGTGTGTGTGTGTGTGTGTGTGTGTGTATAGTTATTGCTAAATCAGATTATTGACCATCCTGATTACTAGCATGGCCCCTCTTTAATACAGACCAGAGCAGCCCTGCTTACTCAGCCAAGGGCGTCATCAAAACCCGATTTGGCCATTTTGTCTTATTGATGTGTCTTACAAACAAACTCTAGAAAAATAATGGAAAGTTTAAAATCTGGAAAAAAGAAACAAACATGACTTTAAAAGGACCGGGTGGAAAATTGCAGTTCTTCCAAAGAATCACAATTTAATCAGGTTTTCATCTTCTGGTTTTAAGTTACTAAGAGTAATAGATGGGAACTGGAACACAGAGGAACATTCTTAGGCATCAGTTGGAAAGCTGTATTTCAGCACACTGCCTTCCGTCTCTTTGGGAAGTGTGGGGAGAAACTGTGCTTAGGCTTTCTTTGTTTCTCTTGTAGATCATGCAGCAGATGAGTGACCACCGCTACGACAAACTCACTGTGCCTGATGACGTGGCTGCAAACTGTATATATCTAAATATCCCGAGCAAAGGGCACGTCTTGCTGCACCAAACCCCAGAAGAGTATCCAGAGAGTGCAAAGGTAAAACCTGTCCTTTCTGGTCACTGCAGCTGGGTAGGCCTCCCTGACAGTCTTCCTGCTTGGGGATTTGTCATGATGGAGTGACAAATAGCAGGGGCTTCCTTTTTCTCTATACATATCAAATTGTTAAGAAAGCAGAACGGATCATTATAATTTAGGCCACAAGGAAATTTTATTTAACTCACTTTTCTCATTCATGTCATTGGTCACTAATGCTTGCACAGTAATTGAGATGATATGCCTGGCATGGAAAGCTTTTCAAATAAGTACTCCGATCTTCCAAGTCTGTGCCCTAGCTCTGATTAAATGCACCACACTCAGATACTCATTAAGCACAGAGACCTACAATTAGATGGTCAGCGTGTCATTGTTTTCTGACAATTCTGAGCTGCCCCTCATCAGAAGGTCACTTATTTCTTAAGGCAGAGGTGTACAAATGGCCCAAAGAGGTGGATGCTTCCTGTCAGAGCTGAGAAAACAGGGTCTGCACTTCCTAGGTAGCAATAAGCTCTTTTTGTCAAAAGACTAGATCAGAAAGAAATGTAGTATATTCGTTTGGAATCAGCCAAGGGTCGCTGTAAGAGTCCCTGCATTTGTGTTCCAGCAGAGAAATTGTCCGTACACCTGGGATCCTTTCCTAGTCTAAGAAAATTTTCCTTGTCTTTGAGGGCACTCTGCTGAGCTCATCTGTAGAGGGTAGTAATTTCAGTTTAATCTTGCCAGGCAGATATAACAGCCCGTATCCATAGCTTCTTCAAGTGTCCAAATCGTCTATTCATTTCAACATCTTCATTTCTGCCCAGAGGAATAAGATATTTATACTAAGTACTACAGACAAGAAGAGCCTTTAGTAACCACTGATTTTATTTATTTACATCTTAAGCTTGAGGATTATTAGAAAATATTTAATACTACTTTTAAAATGTGTAATACTATATAATTACTAGGCTCACCCCTCATAGTCACAAATAAAAAGAGAAGGGTGGGGGAATACGTAGGTGATTTTTCTCCATTTCCATGGCTGTAAGTGTGAACCTGAGGAAAATATGAGACTCCTGACCCCAGACGGGAGCTCACCCCTTTCTCAGATGAATAGTGGGTCTCATACTTTAATGTGCATCAGTATTTTTAAAATGCAGGTCCCTGGACCCTCCCCACACCCCACACACAGACACTCTGGAATCTGCAATATCAACAACACTCGGGTCACAGAACTCAAACTTTGAAAAACATAGCTCAGGATCATTCATGCCTCTTCAGCCACATTGATCACCTTACAATCAGATGATCATGGTCTCATCCTGAATTCAGCCCTGTGTCTATCAATGATAACAATATCAATAACAGCCACATTTACCTAGTGCTTCTCCCATGCCAGACACCGTGCCAAGCATGCTACCTGCATTATCTTATTTAATCCTTGCAACAGACCTGTAAGAACAGTATTATTACTCCAGTCTTACAGAGAAGTAAACTGAGGCTCAGTGGGAATGTCACTTGACTGAAATCACCTTCGAGTAGCAAGTTGACAGAAGTGGTTTAGAACCCAACTCTGCCCAGCTCCAGAACTCTTGGTTAACCACTGTACTGAATTTTAAAGAGCACAGTGCTTCCTAAAGAAGTATGATAGATGGTTTTTTAGTCAGTGTATTTTCAAGTGATTTTGTTTAAAAACTCTGCTTTGATTGTCAAAGAAAATCTGGGGACTGTTAATTTGAAGTCTTGACATATACTTTCAACTAGTGTCAAAAGATGCTGTAAAATTTACACCTGTAATTTAAAAGCAGTTTGACCTGAAATACTCCACTTAAATTATATTTTGTCAAAATTTTCCAGTGATTTTGGTAAGGAAAGAAACATTAAAGTGCCATTTAGAGAGTTTTAAAGTGTAGAGATAGAAAATAATATTCAGACTGAGGACATGGCCACCTACTTTCATGTGTCATTTAATCTACCGGTGACAACAGCTAAGTAAAAGCATCTGTAGTAACAACCACATTTCTGACACATCTTTGGTTTTGAGGTTAAAGCATAAAGCTGGTGGTTAACCAATTGCTACTAGCTCTATGGGCATAGTTGTGGGTGTGTGTATGGTCTATATTACATGAGTATCTTGTGGTTAAATGAGTGAAAAGCCTGGTTATGGATTGAATTGTGCTCCCCACCCAAAAAATATGTGTTAAAATCCTAACCCCTGTACCTGTAGATATGACCAGGTTTGAAAATAGGTGGGTTTCTTTTGTTATGTTAATGAGGCCATGCCAGAGCAGGGTGGGTCCTAAACCTTATCGTTTCTGAGTTATAAAAAAAACAGAATAGACACTGAGACACGAACAGGGAAAAGACACCATATGAAGACAGACACACAGGGCAGGTGCACCTACAAGCCCAGGAACTCCAAGGATTGCCTGATACTAGAAGCTGAAATGTGTCCCTGGGTGGTGCAAACAGTTATGCATTTGGTTACTAACCAAAAGTTTGGCAGTTCGAGTCCATCCATAGGCACTTTGAAAGAAAGCCTTGGCAGTCTACTTCCAAAAGATCATCCACTGAAAACCTTATGGAGCACAGTTCTATTCTGACACACGTGGGGTCACCATGAGTCGGAATCAACTCAAAGGCAACTGGTTAGAGACTGAAATAGACAAAGAAGTACCTCCCCACACCCTAAGTTCAGACCTTTAGCCTTCTGAACTGTGAGAAAATAAATGTCTGCTCTTTAAGGCCACTGACTTCGGTATGGCTGTTTCTGCAGCACTAGCAAACCAAGACAAGCCTAAACTCACAAAGCTTGTCTTTACAACAGAGGGGGGACGACAGATGCAGAAACATAACCCTTCTTCTCTACCTTTCCCTTTGTTCCTACTGTAGATTTATGAAAAACTGAAGGACCATATGCTGATCCCTGTGAGCAATTCTGAACTGGAAAAGGTGGATGGGCTGCTCACTTGCTGCTCAATTTTAATTAACAAAAAGGTAGACTCCTGAGTCACAGAGTCTCTCCTTGTAGCTGGCAATACCGCACACACAAGGCCAATGATTCTGTACCCACTTCTGTTGTTTTCATTGACAATCTACTGTGCCACTGTGCTACTAACTCTTGTTTACAAAGATTTAATTTTAATTTTAATTGCTTCATTTTTGTGCCCTACCCTGTCTTCCTTCATGGTGGTACCTAAGCTGTGGATTTGCTAAATGAATTAAGCAATTTAGAAACTATAGAGCTAATGAACTATTGAAATGTGAATAATAATAGTAAGGAAACACTCATTTTAGTGTTGTATTCTCAGTGTGAAAATCATTTTTTGCCAATATATTGGGAAGAATATCTTCTTGATCAGTCAGATGAGTTGGGTTTTTTTTTCCTCGATATCATTAATCATCTTTGATTCCTGTGAAATTCCCTGGTCTATGTATCTTCCCCCTTTCCCTCTTATTTTATTCAGCAGTCAAAACTTTCTTTCCAGTTATTTTCTTTTGCCCTTCCCACTTCTATTGCCATCACCATGACCTTGGGTAAAGCCCGAGGTCTCCCCTTCTGGATACCTTCCTTCAAGTCCACTCTGTCTGCCATCGGTTTCCTCTACCGCTCAGCTACATCTACTGACCCCCCAGAAGGGCTTACAGGCTCCTTGGCAGAACCATGACCAGAACTGGAGCAGCTGTTTGGGGGAGCATTACCATACAGAGACACATCCTGATCATGTTTGCCCCAGAGATCTAAATTCCAGAAGAAGTAGGGCACCACACCTAGGAAGGTAAATTCAGCACGATATGGTTGCTAAGGGATTGTAGATCAGGAAACTTGCAATACATGAATACAACGTCTTAGAAAGTCTTTAAGGCATGTTCCATGAATTTTTGCTTCAGTATTAGACATATACAGACCTTGGAGAAAAGTCTTCCTTTTTCCTTATTCAGCCCATTTCTATTTCCCCCCCACCCTGACTCAATCTCTTTCCAGCCTTCTACCCTCTACAATTATCCTGTTCTAGCAAGGTTATTTCTTTCAAAAGAGATGTCCCGTCTAAAAATGGTTATTAATGGTATAGATTAATGGTAATCATAATTAATGGTATGGATTAGCCCAGATAGAATGGCGCCTCATAGTCATGGAGCATGTTTAGGAAGTGTTTGAAACCAACCTCAGACAATGGACAATTCTGCTTTGAAACGTCCATGAATATTTACTGTGGAATTCAAGTAAAACTTCTTTCTTTATATTACATAACTGTAAACTGACACGGTCTCTTACAAAGAACAATGCCACACTGGAGGAAGAGATCACTGTCTTTTACTTAAACCTGAAAGAATTGGCCTATTAGCAGGCCAGGGAAGTGGTACTTTCCCAGGGATGATGACTGACTCAGGCATGTTATCAAACTTCCCAGTCATCTCTACCTTTCCTGTATTGCCTGTGGCTTGTTGTTTAAGATTAAGAATCAGGAAGCTTAACAAATATTACTTCAAGTCTTGCTCTGCTCACCTGTATGTTTGTAATCAAAGACAGAAGAGAGAATTAGTATCATTCATTTCAACTCCCCCTTCACGGATGGAAGTGATAAGAAAGAAATCAAGACATCTTTAACCACTAACTGTCTTTTGCATTTATTTGATGACTTTATGCCAGAAATTTGAAGAAATTTCTTTTACTCTTTCTCTTCCTTGTTGTTTAACTTTCATACTCATATCATGTGCAAATATCTAATTATGTGCATCCTGTGAATGAACCATGTCTTGATCACTGTCATATTTCAGACAGTCTCATGGCTGAATAATTTGGTTTTTGCCAGAAAGAGAATGAATGTTAACCACATAGCTAAGTTAGTAAAGAAAAATTGTTCTCAGCAGCTATGGTTGCCCTTTTGAGTTAAATCTGGCCCTACCCTGGCAAAAGCAGAAAATCTCCCTGAGAGAGTTCAACATCTCAAAAGAACCACGGGAAAAATAACCCAATTAGCCAGGTTAGGGTTAATATTAAAGACTACTGGCATACACTTTTTAGTATCTTTACTTCTATCATCCCAAATTAAGAACTAATCCCTGTTATGGTTAGTCAATTGCAAGTGAATCGATTTTTCTTTTGAACGATTTTTCTACAGAAGGCTGATTTTCACTTCTCCTTTCCTTTGCTCCTTTCCCTCTTTCCTTCTCTTTGTCTCAAGAAATCACTTAGAATCTGTGTGCCTCTTAAACAGAATCATATTCTGCACTGCTACATTACCTACTAAGCTGGCTTCTTTGGACTCCCTATGTGATATGATGATGTGAAACCCTAAAATATTTGCAGAATAACAGTATTACTTCTTGATGCTCTTGTCAGCATACTGTTAACTTTGAAAAGGAAAGATGACCCATTGCATATATGCCTCCCTCTTGTCCACTGTGATTTATAAAGATAAATAAACTAACAGAAACTGCTTTTTGACATTATACAGACATAAAGAGTTGTATTTAAGTACATAAAAGTTGAGTCAGAATTATTTGGTCAGTAAAATTTCAATTTAATAAGAACATTGTAGAGACAGGACATTATTAAGCATTATTTCTTCAGCTATGATGGACTGCTGTAGAAATCAGCAGGCAGATCTTTCTAATGTGTATTGATTGCTCTTTTAAGCTACTGTGAACAGATAACTAAGGTCATCTCTTCATCCTCTAAGGGGGGGGAATAGTCTGTAATGAATAATGTGACTTTAATATAGAGTTGCATGTTAGTCTGTAATTATTTACTCTTTAACACTCTACAGAACTCAGACATGATTTCAACATGGTGTTCGATTTGTACATTTTATTTTACTGACCAGCTTGTTCCAGCCAATGTACAGTTATTCACTCTGTGTGCCAAAACCAGTAATGCCTTTCACAACCCTTTAGTCCAGAGAAGTTCTGCACTGATTTGAGTCTCTTGCTGTCCCAATCCTACATGTATACCAATCACGATGGAATAAAGTGTGAGTTGTACTATGACCAAAAGCGTCTGTCTCTTTTTTGCAACAGAAACTGCCATGGTGAGCAAGGGCACCATTCCTTTGCCACCAGAGATTGGATGTTTTATCCCTTCTGTAGGCTATGGAATTAGAAACACTGTACTTGTAAATCAGCCATCAAAAGCTTGGACTAAAATGATATTCGAAATGATACTTTTCCCACTTGAAAACAATGCATACTAACTTGAAAGATTAGATAGGAGCCTTAGGGGGCAGTTAGTTTATGTTAACGGGGGAGGAACAACTCAGAGGAGGGTAAGAGTGATTGTGCAACTCAAAGAATGTAATCAGTGTCACTGAATTGTACATGCAGAAATGGTTGAATCGGTGTATGTTTTGCTGTGTATATTCTCCACAACAACAACAAGATAAATAAAATTTTAAAAAAACATGCATATTAACCGTGCTAAATCAGGAGATCTTGATTTTGTATGTACTCCTTAAAAGATATCGTTTCTTCCCTTTTACTTCTCCTAGTAGTCAGCACATTGTATGGCTTAGTCATGGAGACAGTTGAACAATTTTTTTTTCATTCATGTGACAGTTTGTTTTGTGTTTTTTTCTTTTTTTTAACATATGACTGTAAGCATCTTCTCTTTTAGGAAATTCAAAGAATTTTTTAAATGAGGTTTTTATATTTTCAACAGTTTTTTTTCAAACTGAAAGCAGTTTTTTTTTTCTGATTGTAAAAATAATAACTGCTCACTGTACAAATAAAATTCAAACAAAAATAACTAGAAAAACAAAAGTAAAGAAAAAAATCACCCAAAATTCCATCATCCAGAGATAATCAATATTAACTTTTCAGAGGATATCCCTCCATGCATCTATGAATACATATAGAGATAAACATGGAATAATTATACATAATTACACTGTTCTCTAGCCTGCTTCTTTCACTTAGCAATATATTGTGGGCACCTTTCCATGTCAATAAATATAGATCTACATCATCAATTTTAACAGCCCTGAGTATTGCATGGTACGGTTGTCAAAGTAGCTCTTTCTAATTTATATGGAATATTATATCACAGATGGTTGGTATGCCCACATTGCCATTAGCCAGGAGTCTTCAGGGTATCAAAAATGTGCTGCTTAGAAGCTTCATATACCCCTAGGGTTAGTTCAATCTGGTGTATTTTTATCATAACTGAATGGAATATGCAAACGCTCGCTAAATTCAGACCTGTAGTAAAATTCCTTGGAGAGATCACTGATTATATCACACCTTGTCAGTTAATGTTGTTGCACTGATTAGTTCTCCATTGTTTAGGCTGGCAGTGACATTGGCAATGAAACTAAAAAATGCCACCTCTGCAAACCTACTCTGTGCCCCAATAGGAAATGGAGCCCTCCACCTAAGTGCCAGAGTACAGTGCTCCTCATGGAGGAAAAGGGAGATAACTTTTTTTTTTTTAATTGTACTTTAGATGAAGGTTTACAGAACAAACTAGCTTCTCGTTAAACAATTAATACACCTTGTTTTGTGACATTGGTTGCCAACTCCACAACATGTCAACACTCTCCTTCTTGACCTAGGGTTCCCTATTACCAGCTTTCCTGTCCCCTCCTGCCTTCTAGTCCTTGTCCCTGGACTGTTGTGCCCCTTGAGTCTCGTTTTGTTTTATGGGAATGTCTAATCTTTGGCTGAATGGTAAACCTCAGGAGTGACTTCATTACTGAGCTAAAAGCGAGGCCATGGGCCATGCTCTCAGGATTTCTCCAGTCTCTGTCAGGCCAGTGAGTTAGAATTTTCTTCTGCATTTTTCTCCAGCTCTGTCCAGAACCCTTTATTGTGATCCCTGTCAGAGCAGACAGTGGTGGTAGCCAGGTACCATCTAGTTGTGCTGGACTCAGTCTGGTGGCCGCTGTGGTAGTTGTGATCCATGAGTCCTTTGGACTTATCTTTCCCTTGTGTCTTTGGTTTTCTTCATTCAAAGAAAAATACTTTCTAAAGGAAAAGTTGGCAGGGCTTCCCTGGCTGATATTCCTCTGAGCCTTCCAGAGGAAAGAAGGAGGGTAAGAATGAGGGGAGTGGGAATCCCTTCTCATGACAAGCTACAGATTCTGGAAATGGGAATTATGCAGAATGAAAAATGGTGGTCAACAGTTGTAGACAAGTGAGCACATATCTAACAAGTGCCTACAATGTACCAGCCTTTGGGATGTGGCTCTTGTCCTTCAGTCTGGGAGGGAAGGATGACTACACAAGGGCACAAATAATTATGATACAACATAAGATTAGGGTTAGAACTATGAAAAAAAGCAGTACTGTGGTGGTTCCCAAATTGTGGGGGTGGGGGTGGGGGTCAGACAGGAGTCAGGCTTTGATCTGGGCTCAGAAAGTGGTGGTTCCCAAATGGACAGGATCAGATGGAGGAGTTGGTCTTTGATCTGGGCTCGGAAGGGGCTCTGACTTCAATAGGCAGAGATAGGAGTGTAGGCATTCAAGGCAGAGGGGACAGCATGAGCAAAGGTATGGAAGTGGCAGACTACAGTGTGCATTCAGAAGCAAGTATTTGTTGAGCACCTAGTATATGCCAGTTAATTTTGCTAGACCCTAGCAATACAATGGTGAACAGAAAGAGACAGTCCCTGCTTTCCTGCAATTTGCATCCAACAGGGAAGACAAACCTTAAACCAGTTACAGCAAGTGTGGTGACCATTGTGAAAGGAGAATGGGGTGCTAAGAGCAGATGGCAGGGGCAAGCAAATGGATTTGTTTGGCTGAAACATGGGATAAATAAGAGCATCGTGAGAGATAAGGCTGACAATATAGGTTGGAATGTCTAGAGCCCTGACTGCTTACCTAGGATATTTGGACTGAATTTGTCAGTCTGTGAGGAACCCCTGAAGACTTTTGAGTTTTATGGAATGATATTATTGGAGCTTTATCTGGAAGGATTGTGTAGGACAAATGGGAACTGAGAGCAACTGGTGTTTCTCCAAGTTTAATTTGTCATTTAAACATCTCTTCTCACCACCAAAATGGAGCGTGAAATCCAGGCAATTAACTCTCTCTATATTTTCTCTCGTGAAATACAGATTAATAACACCTTCCCCTCTCAACTCCAAAGGGACGTTTTCACCACAAATGAGATAAAAGGACTGAAGTGTTCTTTGGAAGAAAAGTATAATGTAAATATCATTATCATCATCATTATCCTCATTAACTCCTATCACAGCAAGGCTGGATCCCATCAAAATGTCAGCTTCTATTTGAAACATCAATCACCTACTCCAGAAATAACTCAGGATTTGCATTATTGATGTCTCTAAGCTGGCCTGAAAGCCTCCACAGTGAATTCACAGGGTCTCCTTGGTAGACGGCACTGCTGCTCTGCAGACATCTTTGCATTTGGGAACTCTTGGCAAATCGGAGCAGTTCCAACCCTCTCCCACTCCAAACACTCATTTCTAACTCAGTGAAAGTTAGGCCACTT